CTCAGCAGTTGTGGCACGTGGGCTCAGTAGCTGTGTCTCGCGGGCTCTAGAGCGCAGGCTCAGTAGTTGTGGCGCACAGGCCTAGTTGCTCCACAGCATGTGGGATCTTCCCGGACCAGGGCTCGAACCTGTGTCCCCTGCATTGGCAGGCAGATTCTTAACCACTGCGCAACCAGGGAAGGCCCTGGCCTTAGGTTTTGATCTTGTAACCTGGAGGCGTTTACAAGCTACATTTCGGTTTGCTTACACAGGCCACCAAGGCATTAGAGCCACCTCAGTCCGGGGGCCTCCTTGTTTCATTAACGAGGAGTGGCAATGACCAGAGCAGATCTCCCGAGCAGAGTTCCATGGAGGAGAATAAAGCTGGAGAGGACACTTAGGGACCTACCGTGGAATGTCTTCAATAGCGGGCCACCAACCAGTATGCGACCAAACGTTGGGTGGGCGTAATTCAAGAACCAGCTGTTTAATTTCTTTCAGGGGAATGACCTTTGTTTAGCAAAACACCTGGAAAGGACTGTTGGTTACGGAAAGGTAAGCCTCAGCGTCTGGCCAGGACAGGCAGAGACAGATAGTGAGAAAGCTGACTTACTCGGCGTGAAAAGGAAGAAGGAATGACATATTCTGGTACAGACCTGCAAGAGAGACATAAGAGGGAAATTCTGAGGATACATGTCAGGAGGGAGGAAATTCTGTCCGGGAAGAAATTCTCTATAGGAGCTAAAGAATATGAAAGAAGTCAGAGCTTCCACCTTCCTGTTGTCAGCTTCGTCTCTGCCACTGCCCTCACACCTTCCGAGTCTAGGCCTCGCTCATCTACCCGAGACGTGTTTGAGAGGTGAGGAACAGTGGGTGTGTGACCCACTCAGCTCGGCATGACCGAGGTAGCGAGCAAGCCTGGGCGGAATGCCAGCAGGAAAGAAGGAAGGATCCCCAAACAGGACATCAAAGTGAAGGATGGGGCTTCCCTGGTGGCACAGTGGTTGAGAGTCCGCCTGCCGATGCAGGGGACACGGGTTCGTGCCCCGGTCCGGGAAGATTCCATATGCCGCGGAGTGGCTGCGCCCGTGAGCCATGGCCGCTGAGCCTGCGCGTCCGGAGCCTGTGCTCCGCAACGGGGGGGGGCCACAACAGTGAGAGGCCCGCGTATAGCAAAAAAAAAAAAAAAGTGAAGGATGAACGTGTGAACCCACGTCCCTGGAAAGCCACACAAATCTTAAGGAAGACAGGAATGTGTCATTTGGGGTTAATGCAATTTCATTTAAGTCTCAAAAACCAGGAATCCCAGCTAACACCTAGCTCCACATATATAAGGCAACTTTTATACCCAACTCCTGATAGTTTGGGAAAGAATGATTGCATGTATAGATCTCCCAGTGTCCGTACTTCCTTCTTTCCTTCCTCTTCATAACTAATTCTTAACATCTTAGCACCATCACCAACGTTTATTCAATCTCAGGAGAGACGGGCCAACTCAGATTGATTTCCTTTTCTCTTTGTAACCATCACGGGCAAGATGTGTCATTGGGATGTCCGTTTCACGATTCTGTCCCTGTGCACCCAGCAATGAATGTTGAAGTGAGAAATACTGCTTTGCTCCTACCCCGACACCTCCATGTATTTGAGTGTATAGATACATGTGTTCCCGTATGAGATTGTTCTATTTCCTGCAGTGGGTGGATTTATTCTACCATCTATGAAAGACCAATGAAATGCTTCTTGCAACTGCTTATAACATTTCTCAGCTGAGGTTCCAATGGTTTCCCCAAAACTAAGTACTGATACATAATGACAGTGGCAGATTCACACAGTGTATTGTTATTTCTGGAACAATGCCTTCAGAATGATATGATTTGGCCAGTCACCTGCACTGCTCTAGACTGTCCCTTGACTATAATAATTGACACCTGAGAAAGTTTCCTCCTGGCGGGAAACTCCATTCAGAGAACAGAGCATCTGCAGTGGAGGATGTCTGATGAGTCATCAGAACATTAAAACGGTCAGGATTCACATGTATGTCAAAATGTTCACGTAACCCTCCTTGCTGGAGAGACACCGGCAATTAGTTTTTGCAATTATTGTGCTGGTTCTCTTTCCCCATCTCCTGAAAGCTACTGCAAAAGGGCTCCATGATTTGACATTCATTATCCCTGGAGTATGTCCATGACCTTCTGCTTGCTTTGGAGTGTTTGGGAAATCCGCAAACCTAACCTTCGATCAAGTATTTCGATTTGAACAGGACGTGAAAAGGCAAAAGCTACCTGCCTGGTTCCCAGGTTAACTACCCTGCAGCTTCCCTGATGTTGCTGAGAATCTTCCAACTTGCCATCTCCTGCCTCTTCCACTTATTCATGTCATTTATTCTGGCAAACATTCATCCTGACCCTTGCAGCCATTTCCAATTGAACGCATCTGAACTGGTCAGTTCCTCTTTGAGTTTTCACAATAATTACTATCTCTATTTCAAAAACCCAAAGCAACAAATATCTACCCTTTAGCAACAGTGCTTTTTAAAATATTGTTTTTATTTCAGTGCCTTTATCAACAGATACATGCACACGCTAGGAATTTCTTCATATTCATTTTATAAATGGTCTTTTCTTAACTCCACAATTAGCATGTCCAGATGAGCACACACATGTGCTAGGGCCTTTTAATTTTTTAAAAAAACCCAAAACACTATCTATCCCTAACTTCACAGCATTTATAGTCTAAAAGTGCTTATTTACCCAAGTCAAATAGATTTCTTAGTGACAAATCTTTCTTGCAAGCTATCAAAAATTTTAAGGCATGTCTCCACTTAATAAATCACTTTCTCATTATTCCTGGGTAATTTACCTCTGCTCTTTGCCTCTGCTCTTTGCTATTTTCTTACCTTTATTCATTTGTGTTTATGAGAGAAGCACAAAGTAGGTGAAAATTAAATATTTTCACTTTACCTAATAATTGGAATATAGGAGAAAGGTTGAAACTACAGCCAAAAATCTAATTTGAATACAAATAAAGCTTTAATATTATCAACCAACTTTTTTTCCATTCTATCTTTGAGCCTTGTTGCTAACCATAAAAACTGTCTGTCCAAGGACAAATGATAACAGAGCACATTTCATCCCGAACATTTGTCAGAATGAAAGGTAAACGGCAAAGTGATACTGAAGACTCCTATTTGGACGTTACGTGTGCACGTGGTACCTGGTGCCAGGACAGAGCAGGAACCTCCGAATATCACGTTTCTTTTTCTGTCTCCAAACAAATGGGGCAGCTCAGAGTCTGTGGCGAGGGCTAGACTATAACAAAACAACGTCGACTCTGATCATCTGTCAAAGCAAACTGGAGTCAGAGAAAAGAAGGTGTTCTGGGCCAGGCAATGCCAGTGGGATGGCAGACAGCACAGTGATAGCAAATAATAATAACCCCTCAGGGAACAAGGCTTACACTCTCCACGTCAGGAAGCTTCGAAAGGAAGGAACACAGAGGCAACCAAGAAATCAGAGTAGTCTTCATGGCACTGTGTCTTCTCTGCATCTTGCTGATTAACTGAGCCCTACATGTGCTAACCAAGGAGTCCACGGGGGATGAGGTGGGAGAGGCCCCCCGGCGACGCTGGAGGTAGGGGTGATGGGGAAAAAAGAAAAGGGTACAATTCCACTAGGAATAGGGTATCTGGAGACTCTGTCTTCAAATCCAACGGACCTCTAGGCACAGTTTCAGGCCCTATTTAGGATTCCGTAGCAATTTTTAAGACAAAGCAATTTTCCTAAACATCCCCTTAGTCACTTGGATCTGGGTGTATCTGGGTCTTATTCTAGTTCCCAGACATTCTGCTCATTTTTCCTTCTAAGTGCAAATGAGAGGCTGGAAAGGGTCAATATTCACACCAGCTGGGGGCTTCAAATAAGGAATGTGAACACAAAACAACAAGAACGAGAGCTTGTGGGACACCCGCCTATGAAGCATCAGAACGGATGCTCCAGACATGGCCGTGTTCTCTCTACCACTCAGCACCGAGGGGTGACGGAGTGTCAGAGGACGCCTCATGGCAGCCACGGCCCTCCTCCAAGACCAAAGAACAAGTCATTTCACCCACGGCCAAGCCCAACACCCAGGCGTTCTGTCTTCCAATGCTGCACTATTATTATTCTAGTAGGTACAACAGCTCTAATAGCCATAGTACCTATTGGGAGCCAGGTACTAGTCGAAGCCCCTGACAGGTGTTACTTTACTTAACCTTACAACCACTCCCCTGATGGAGGGACATTCTGCTCTGTTCCTTCTTCAGGCAAGGAATCTGAGGCCCAGAGTGTGTAAGTTCCTAGCTCAGTCTCAAAACTGGGGAAAGGGCTGAGCTTCCTACCCTGAACACCCACACTCCCTGCCACTAAGGAGTGTGCGTGTCTCCCTGCTCCCTCCCCCCATGGCTCCATCTGCAGAGAAGACTGGCCCCCTGGTGCTTCCTTAGCCCGACTTCACTGTGCAGTGAATTACTAAATTCCCCTGGGCTTCCGGTGGCACAAAGCATCACCAGAACACAAAGTCTTGAATTTAGTAATACTGGGCTCTCGCTGTAACTGAGAGAATAACAGCTTGTTTGTCCTCATTCTTTCCAAGATCCCTCACTGTTCCTTGAAAGGGTTTAAGCCATTTGATGCCTAAGAGCAATGTCATCATCTCCAGGCCCAACTCCTGTAGTTCTACGTGAAAAACAAAGAATTTGTCACCGTGAAATAACAGGAGGGATGAGAAAGCGGAGGGGATTGCAAGCTGGGTCATTTTTTTTACTGGCTCTGGTGAATTCTCTGATTGGCAGTTGGACCCCATGCCAGAAGCAGAGATGTGTGCAAGGCCTGGGGCTAATCATCTCACACCCCTCGCAGTTAGGAAAACTCCTAACTAGAGCTTCCTGAGATTGATTTCTTTTCTTTCTTTGTCCGTTTGGAGGGCAACTAAAATCCACCTTTGCGGGCACAAGCCAGTAACTGACCCTCTTTTCTGCTGCACAGAACCTGAAGCGGGTGGCGGAGACCTGGATGGATGAGTTTGCCGAGTACATTTACCAGCGGCGCCCGGAGTACCGGCACCTGTCCACGGGGGACCTCTCCGCGCAGAAGGAGCTGCGCAGACAGCTCAAGTGCAAGGACTTCAAGTGGTTCATGGCGGCGGTGGCCTGGGACGTGCCTGAGTACTACCCTCCAGTGGAGCCCCTACCCGCAGCCTGGGGGGAGGTGAGGCGCCCCCTGGGGGTGGGAGTGGGCTGCTGAAACCCTCAGCTCCCTGGCCCTGCGGCCAGGGTCAGCTGAAATGATCTCCGATAAATATATGTCCTCTGTAGGAATTGCTGGGGAAGGGCATTCAGCTCACCCCTGGAACCCCTGGCCACTGTTGACTCCCCAAATTGATTTTTTTTAAATGCGCCTGGAAACTGTTTATTTGAGATTAGTGATATTGCGCTAAGAGCTTGCAGAGAATGAAAATATCTGTCGTGCTCTTGTGTACATAAATGTGACCCGATGTCCACGATAAAATCCCTCCCTGTCCGCCGCGCGTGCAGCCTGGTTGCTATGGGCGTGTGCAAGGACGAGGTGCCCCGATGGGGCTGGGCGGCTTTCCTAACCAGGTGTGCGATGCAGAATCAAGATGCGCTTTTCCACAATACCCTGAACTGTGGCAAATGTGGAACCTCGTGGGTTCCTTAAATAAGCACCAACCTTTCCACCTCTGAGCGCTTCTTTTAAATTTTACTTCATGATCTAAAATGGAAAGAGCTGAAAGGCCCCAGGTGCCCAATTTAAAGCATCTATATTTTGGCATATAAAGGACTTTTGTGCTGGGTTCAGGTCTGTTCAGTCTCGTTACTGTGGCCTTTTCCTCTTAGGAGAGGGTTGCTAGAGCAAGGACTCAAATGGCATGAGGTGAATTTAGTCTGCAATTTAATCTGCTCGTAGCAGGGGGCTTCGGGGGGGGGGGGGGCGGGGGGGAGGGATGCTAGCGCCATCCCCACGCTCAGGAGCAGACTGTCTCGCGTCGTGCAGGTGCCTTCCCATCGTCGTCCTTGACTTTGTGGTGTGGAGAGAACAGGCGCTTGTCCGGTTAGTGTCTGTGGCTGGGCAGAGTTCTGAAAACAGGTGGCCCCCAGGCGTGGCAGGGGAGGCCCGCGCGCTGGGGCAGCGTCCTTGGGTGAGCCAGCGTCCTGGCTCCAGGCAGAAAACGCGTTCAGCAGGTTACACGTGCGCTGCTTGTTTTGCTAAGGGGCCCGTAGAGAGGTGGTCCTCTGCTTGACCTGGGGAACCTCGGGCATGAAGGACAGAGTGAAGGCTGGCACCAAGGCTTCATCTCCTAATATTTCTTTGTATATGCACGTGGTCCTGATCGTGGATGTTTCAGTGAGTAATTTGGTCTCTGATTCTTTGCATCTTAAAGAATTCATTAACGCGTCCCTGGAATATTAGTACTATTACTCTGCTGGTATTCGTTTTTGTTATCTACCAGGGGCTTAATTTACAGCAGCAGCAATTTAAAGTAGACCCCAGAGAGAACCTTCTTAGTCTAAGGTGTTGGAAGACATAAGAATTTGTTACCCAAGAAGCAGGTGAGTTTCTTCCTCGAGTTTTTGGGTTAAGGTTATGTCTGCCATCCTTCCCTAATAATCTAAAAACAGTCCTGCCTTAGTGACTTAGTAGGAAACTCTCCAAGAGCCCACGGCCCCGCCCCACGGCAGAGGCAAGCACGCGGAGGGGAAAGAAGCCCTGCCCGCCAAGTCCCTTCTGCCTCCGGAGCCAGCTCCCGGAAGCGCTGGTGTTGGTAGCTGGCCTGACGGCTCCAAGGTAGCTCCGTGGGGCTGGAGCGCTGGCCGCGCAGGCCCTGAGCGCCTGCGGTCCCAGGGGAGTCTCCGTGGTGCGCCCTCTGGCGTCTGGAGGTGGCGCTCTTACTGCGGACGAGCAGGGACTGGGCTGCCGAGGGAGGTCATGCTGCCTGCACGCAAGGGTCTGGAGCCGTACCATACGCTCCCCCCGAACGCAGCCTCCGGTACCAAGGAAGACCCTCATTTAGTCTGCTTCCAGGAAGCGCATGGTGGGCTGCATCTGTGAAGAAGACAACATCGTCTGGCCCTGGCTGCACAAAGGCGAGGCCTCGCGGAACCCATCACAAGCCGGTGTCCTAGCAGCTGGCCCACGGAGCCCCTGCACTAGCTCCCTCAAAACGGGGTGTAAAGTTTCTTCTTTGCAGTAAAGACATTACATTGGCTCCTCCTCCCATGAAAAACAAAAGAAAAGAAAACTCTCCAAGACCTCCCAGTATCATTGTGTGATTCGGGACGAGGTTAAAATCTCATCAGTCTTTTCCCTATGTGGAAACGTAATTTTTTATTCCAACCTGGCTACTACCTAAACTGCGACTGGTCGCATTTTCCCTCGTTGCCTGACTAAACCATAACCTGCATTTATAAAGCATCTTGGGGGGGAAAAAAAGCATCTTGCATGGAAACAGATTCAAAATTTCCCTGAGGTTCTAGAAAAGACATAACTTTCCAGGAATAATAAGAACCATCTTATGGCCAGTGGGTGATGCCAGTTTTTAACCTATTACTCTTGACTACCTCACAGCTTTACGTGGTTTGCCTGGGCCCTAGAGACATTTGAGTTCATCATCCTTGGTTTAAACAATCAGACATTGAGAAGATCAGATTTTCTTCTAATATAGTGGCAAATTTCTTTCCCCAAAGCTTCAGAACAGCAAAGGAAGGTAAGGTCACCTTTAGGTTTAGGGAAAGAAGAAAATGGCAAAGTAGTTCAAGCGCCAGTTACATTCAGTTACATTTGCTCAGTGAAGGGGTGGTACACGGCAAGGATGAAGACGAGACGTAGGAGGAAGACAGAAGGAAGGGGAATCGGCAAGCGACAGGGCTTGGGCTGGTAAAGTGTATCGAAAAATATCTATTTCCCAAGCAGGGGAGATCCCTGAGAGTAAAAGTGGTGCCTGGACATTTAATGCGGGAGGCAAATGAAGTATTTGAAATGCAGCTTAATCTACATGGAATGATGAACAGGAAGGACCACTTTCTAACTATATATTGGGTAATAACCTACTTCTTAATGGTGGATAAAAATTGCTAAATGTGGACCATTTTATCTCTAAAAAATTCAAAGTTTCCCTCGTGTATTCCTTGGCCCTCTACAAAGAGCTTTTGTTTATTAAGTTTTTATTTTGGAATCATTTTAAACATACGGAAAAGTTGCAAAGAAGGCACAGAAAGTTGACATACACCTTTCACCCATTTCTTCTGATGTTAACATCTTACGTTTGCCCCCATACGTTTAACCATAGCACATTTAAACTAAGTAATAAGTATTGGCACAACACTACTAACTCGGCTACAGACTTCCATCAGATTTCACCAGTTTTGTTTGTTTTTCTAACTAATGTCCCCTTTCTGCTGCAGGATCCAATCTAGTACATAAAAGGGCTGTTTCATTTCCTATAAACTTTAAATTAATGGCTCGAATGCGCCAAGCTCCTACATAAATGTAATAGGTCACTTCCTGTTTTGGTAAGAGAGTGACAAGGGAAAGGCAGACTGTGTGGTAGGAAGGAACCCCAAACCTCCAGCAATGAAAACGCAAGACTCCTTTATGGGAGCGCTGTGCCGGGAAGCAGGGTAACGTGCTGTTTCATGCACTTGTACTTGGAACAGTTTCCCACCTGCTCCTCTGTGCCAGCCTGATTCTGGATAAACCATCAAGTGCTTAGGCCATCTTGGGCTCTGGTCGTTGGAACCCAGCTTGGAAAGGATGTGTTACAGACCATACACATCCTATAAACTGCTACTCGTTTCCCTGACAGATTCAGCTGGTTGTCGTGTGTGTCTCCTAACTCATCCCAGTCTTCCCGCCCCCCCCCCCCCCCCGCCCCTTAGCTTATTCTCCACTTGAAACGGGAGATCAGGCCACTGCCTCACTCAGAAACTTTCGAAAGCTACCAGCTCTCTCGGGGTCAAAGTCAAAGTCCTCACCTGCACCCTGAACGACCTGGTCTCTGCTGCGTCCCCTCCGACCTCATCTCTTACTGTTAGCCCTCGGCTTCCTTTTTCCAGGGACACTGGCCTCAGCGCTGCTCCCCGTCAGGCCAGGCACAAGCCAACCTCAGGGCCTTGTCACTTGCTGTTCCTCCTGCTTACATCCCAAGGCTCTTCCCTCACTCCCTTCAGGCCCTTTCTCAAAAAGCACTGTCTTCTCGGAAAGCCCTCCCCGGCTGTCCCCTCTGTCGTGGGCAGCAATGCACAGGGGGCTGTCCATCCTCATCCACTCCCAACACCCCTCCCCTGCTCTCTCCTGCTCGTCAGCATCCCTCGCTACAGAACAAGCCATGCCATCTACATATTTATCGTGTTTCTCACCTACCTAGAAAGCCAGTTCCAGGACATAGGGTCCTGTTGATTTGCTGAGTTACTACTGCCCTTCAGCAGCTACAAACAGGGTTTGGCATATAGTGGGTGCTCAATAAATGCTTATTGAGTGAATGATGAAGGAGTGGAGGATCCTGGCTCCGTCACCCCCTCTGCATTCACAGCTCTGCCCAGAGGCCCCCATGGGCAGGCCAAGCTCTGGCCCCCCTTCACCGCACGGGGAAGGGTCTCCACACCACTCCCTGGCCGGGCATACAGAGGCTGCCTCTCTGGAAAGCCTGGCCGGGAAGACAGTGTGAGTAATGAATCTCAGGTGAGTGATTCCAAGGGACTGCCAGGTCCACATTCCATGTCACAGTCCAACAAGATATGAAATAGTCTCTTCTGACAACCTAAGGAGAAGAAGGAGAACCTCCAAAAGTGAAAATCCTCCATGCCAGCAATTTCCAATCTCTCCATGTCACCTTCGTACTTCAAAGGCAAGAAGAGATTAAAGTCACCTCTGATGGAGGCATCATTCCGTCCTCTGGTCGCCAGGGTAGTGGGTGGAGTGGGGAGGTGAGGGGCCCCGAGAGAATAAAGGGGATTTTGAGCCATGTAATAAGTCGAGCATCCCTTGGTGCTATTCATGTAGAAGCAATGCGCTTTCCGCAGTGCTGTGTTGGAGAAGAAACCCGGGTAAGAACAGGTTCAAAACAGAAAACTGTTCTTAAACCAGGCACAGAGGGAGTGTGTCTTTTTGTGTCAAGATGCTAAATGAACGGAACAGAATTTCCGATTATTTTTTGCCTTCTTACTCCTTCCCCTCCTTAGAATTCATGA